CCCTGCTTGAAAGCTTTCGTCCCCCCCCCCCCGGCGGGCGCAAGTTAAAGTAGATATAGATGATTCTAGCATATCATACCAAGCTTCAACTACTGTGGAAGGAATGGTGAGGGAAGCCACCATCAAGCCCAAGGGGAAGGCGGGCCAACAACTGTGGACATCTGGCAGTTGGCCTAACTCCCTGAAGGGGGTTAAAATAGGGATTATGTAGGGGACTACTTTAGGGGTTATTAAGGGGGATACTACCGTAGGAGTTTATTGTACATCCGACATGATTTCGTTGAAGTGAATTGTTGGCAGCCCTTGATTCAGGTGTAAGCAACCAAGATTCAAAGGGCTTCTGCAGGATAATCTTCAACAGTATGATGCTGCGAAACCTCTCGCTCCAGGAGCTCATTCTTCAACCGCTTATGCCACTTCTCCAAGGACACCCCGTCCAATCCGCTTTGGATCAATGATTTTAGGAGTGACTTCAGGCACAATTACATTTCAGGCATCCCTCAGCGAAGCGTGCAGCAACAACAGCAGCATGACGGAAGTTCAATATATGAGACAGTAGCAAAGGCAGTGGATGCAGAAGCAGAAGCCATTGTTCTTGCTCCGTTGAAGTCGGCATGATGCTGGTAGTACTGTGCCCGGCAACTCCATTTACTCCATTTCCATCACGCAACATGTGGGCTAGGCGGCTAATCCAAGCGGCCTTCGATGAAGCAGTCCGAAATTGACAAGCCAGCTCAGTCTCACCCACGAGTTCCGATGGAAAGCGCACATTTCACCTATAGATGTGCTTTGTGACTTCAGGACGGCGCTACCAGGTTGAGATCGACGCGGGCGGTGTGCAGGAGCTGTCATTATTCCTACTATGTACCATTCTTGATTTTGGTTATTCCCACCTGTTTTTTAAAGCCTTTTCCTGCGAAGCAGAGCATGGGGCATCCAAAATCACGCCTCATCGATTAGGCCAAAGCTTCGTTTGCTGTGAAAAAGGGCTTGAAATCCGCAAGGAAGGGGTCGAGGGAGCCTGTATTTGAAATGCGGAGCACCGAAGGATGCAACATGCGGGCGAGCAGGTTCACAAGGAACGAGCAACCACAAACAAGGAGAACAACAAAATGCAAGAAGACTGCAGCATTCTGTGAGCCAAGGAAGGCCATTCCTAGCCAGTGTCCATTCTCATGAAAGATGACCAATTTCAACAACCGCATTGTGTCCGGAGCCAATGAATGGCTTTGCAAGTGAAGGCGGCTGTGATTCATGTGGGAAGGACCTGGCGGGCAACTTCTTCGGCCATCTCACTGGGAGCAAGCTCCAGGCTTTGCAGCTGTTTAGGCTGCTTCTGACCACTCCGTGATTGACCGCACTCAGGGGGCACAATGTTCACTTCAACAGACCAGCATGAAACCAGCAGCCAGCTCCCCAAGTCGCTGGATCCCCCGAAGGTTTACATCCTGGAAGATCAGGAGGCCGGAAGATATTTTCGTGCAGCATGTGTGCCACAGTGTGCCTGTGGGAAGCAGCTTTTGCACATTTTTATTTGAGCACATATGCATCTCTAAGGCACCGCGCCTGCTGTCAATGATGCCCGCACATGGCTCAAGAGGACGTGGCATCGAAATGGTGTTCACATGCACATGTTCCAAACACTGCTACTGGTAGAAGTGGACGTGGGAAGTGCTATATGGATTGTGTACGAAACTTAGGGGCACTTTTTCCACATGAAGAGCTTTTTCCAAATCTTTGTGCCTTTGCGGGACTTTGTTTGTTTCAGGTATACAACCCCTAAATAACCCCTATGTAGCCCCCTTTAATTAAGGAGCGTTTGACCCTAAACTCGAAACCCTTAACCCCCTTTAAGGAGTTTTTGACCCTAAACCCTAAACATCTAGATAAACCCCTTTCAGGAGTTTAGATTACAGTTTTAAGCAAGCAAGGAGTCGAACCTTGGACGGTGCTGGCATTGACCTTCAGCGAGGCAGCCTTCTGCGTGTCCGTTGCGTCACTTTGAGTCTTCTTGAAACATCCATGTGAGCTAAAGCTTAAACTCCTGAAAGTGGATTATACAGGGGAGCATTAGAGGGATTCTTCAGGGGAATACTATGGGTTTAGATTATAACTCATGTTGGGAAGTGATCCTCATTTCTCGGCTTTTGCTTGCATCAGGCTAGTCAATCCCTTGCAAAATTGAATGACAGGATGTGGTGGCGGGCCGGGGGCATCTCCAGGCTCGATGGGAATCTGAATCATCCGCAAGATGGGGGTTTCCCAATAATCATTTGGGGTACCTTTTTGGGGGGGCCCCGTAATGAGGACCATAGTATTTTGGGGTCTATATTGGGGTTCCCCTATTTGGGGCAACTACTATTATCACCTTAGACTGCCCACGCAAGGGGTTCAGTGGCCATCAATAATCCGCATGCCAGCGACTCCCTCAAAGAGCCTTCGATGCTTAAACAATCTCACGTGGACACCAGTGGCAATACTGAAAGTTTTCCCAGAAGTATAGCTAAAGTGCTTGTCATCACACGATAGTATAGCATAAATGTCATCGGCTATCCCTTGCTCGTCTTTCTGCTTGTTCCTGCGTTGCCGCAGCACGTTGAGCAGGTGAGGCCCAGGTTTGGCTATGGAGTTCGGTTGGAGCTTCCAGTTTCCGAAGCAGTCCTCGTGCACGAGAAGGCCGCGTGGGGAGAATCGGCTTCTTCGACGTAGCCTGAGATTATGAACTCCTGATCTGTTGCAGGGCCCCGATATTTGCTAGCTGTTAGCTATTTGCAGAGGCTGCTGTAGTCTGGGCCGCTGGGCCATACACGAAGTTCGACGGTGCTTCATTTCCTGAAGGCTTTGTTCAAGCTGCCCCCTGGCCAACGCTATACGCCTGACATGGCATGGCACTTGATTGTGCCATCATCACCAGTCTTATCAGCTGATCAGAGAAGGGCTGCCTCTTGTTGTAGTCTGCATGGCCAACACTGCAGCTGGCACGGAGAGAGAGCTTATGGCACTTTTTGCCAAGGAGTACGAAATCTTGGTGCCGGCGGGGCTTCTTCGCGACCGCTTGGGGAATGAGGCACCGCTCCGGCACCACCAGCTTGGCACGCAATTTGCATGTGTTCTTTTCGGTAGGTTCAAGCTGCAAAAGCTGGTTCCTTCACAACGCTCAGCGGGCCATCAGCTGAGCCGAGCTTCCGTTGATTCATGTGGTTTCGAGATAGTTAAAGGTTAGACAGCCGCGCAGCAAGTGACACAACTGAGGGTCATCACTACGAGCGATTACTTTGGTGGCGGCATGTGCCAGCCTTATCCATCGGTACTGGATGTGCAGCTCCCTTGATTTCATCAAAGGGTGCTTCCGCACGCAGACGTATAAATAAGGTCAACCTAGTAACTCATCGCAGCGTGGACGATCTGCTAAGAGCAAGGCCTGGGGGTCCGCCTCCTCCTGGGGACGAGATGGTGGAGGAGACATGGCTTTGCCCTTGCATCTTACAGGGGCATGTAACTGAAAGCATTTTTTTGCCGAGTACACAGCCCTGTGTAAAATCAGATAGCTCAGCCCGAGAGAGCCAGCAGACGCGTTGCTTGCCAGGGCTTCCCCGATCTCCTAGCCACTTGGCCCTTTCGGGGAGCCAGGGACGTGCGCCCGCACAGTGCAAGGATTTTCTTTCAACTTTTAATTACACCACACAGCCTGACACTTGCAAAAGGTTGTGCGCTGTTCGCCAGGTACCACCTCGAAATGGCATAGAGATTTTCCTCTATTTTGCCACCCCTGTGGAGCCGGGACCCCCATGCGGCGCCTGAGAATCTGTTCCAGTTAAGCCACTTTGCAGTCTGGTCAGCAAGCGCCACATTGACGTCGAAGCGCGAAGCATCACAAGGCTAGGCACGATGCGCCGGTCTGTAGGACACATTCTGGGATTCAGATGGCGTTGTACCTCTAATTTTCCCTCCCTGACGTATACACTGGCTGCCCATACTCAAAGAGATTCATGACTCTTGAACCTCCTGCAGCACTTCAGAAGCCAAGAGGGTGGAAACGTAACTTGGTTCCCCCTGACCATGGATGTTGCGCCCGCGCTGGACCTAGCCCTTGAGCGAGCTTCAGCTTGTTGTAGCAACAAGCCGTGCCTTGACGTGGTCCGAAAAAGCTTGACTGATAGCATAGAGGCGTCGCATGATGCCGTCCGGCATGCGCATGATGCGTGGGATCAGCTGGAGTTGTTGAACTCAAACATGATGTCCATATCCGGGCTGGTGGACCTGCCTGGTGCGGAGGATCTCAAAGTTGCCTTCAAAGAGGCCAAGCTACTCACCCGTGACAGAGTTGTTTGGCAAACTATGGGTCGTTTCCGTGACGTGTTGGATATGATGCTCAGCATCGAGTACCTCTCTGACATTGTGAAGGGCAATACAACCCGCATCAGCCAGCTTCGCCACTCGTACGTCAAGATACACTCCGACATGCTGGTGCAGATGATGGGTCGGTACGACTCTTGGGAAGCGTTTGCCCGACATCTGTGGCACAACTCTGATGACTTCGATGTACAGCTTGTACTCTCTCAGATCAACCACTTCAACGAAGCCGGCCTGCAGATGGACAGTGACTACCAGTCCTTGATGCAGTTGCCTGAAATTGTCCAGCAGGCTATGTGCAAGACAAAGACGATCATCTACTCTGCCGATCAGCTGAATGATAGCAGGAATGGGGCATCCCCTGACATAGCCAGCTTGCATCGCTCCCTGGCGCGGTTGGGCCGTAACCTTTCGTATCCAGACTTCCTGGACCCTGTCCAGCAGGAGATCAACTTGAGCGTGCGTTCAAGTAAGTTGGCGGTGCAGCACGCAGTGGGAGCATGGGCTGTTCTGCAGAACGAGGCCCAGGCCAGCGGCATTTGGAGAAAAGATGATGGCAGCCGCAAGTTCCGCAAGCTGGAGAACCTTGTTCTAAACGAGATCATTCTCAGCGGCTGCG